AAAAAAATATATGTTAAAAAAAAAAAAAAAAAAAAAGGACAAACATGTCAAGGCTGATTGACAGGGGGACCCTCTACCCCATCCTATCCAGAAGGTACTCACCATGGAGACCTTCGCTCTGTCCTTCCCAGCTCCCAGGTATTCATGGGAGGCAGAAAATAAAATGAACAGTTCCTTTGTACAGAAGGCATCCAGGGCCTTCTGAACTTGAAAGTAAACTTTTCCCATTGTTAGGAGAGCTGCACTTAAGCTTTCAAAGTGGCTGGGGCTTGGGAGGGAGACAGCACTTACTGCATTTAGCTACATTAATTTATTTTTCTTTAATCCTCACAATAATGCTGTAAAAGGATTTTATTCTTTAAATCTTTTTTGTGTTTCAAATCTGAGCACTTTGAGGCCTAGAGATGTGAATTAACCCACTCAGGGTCATAAGCCAGGACCCACCCCTTGCTTTTCCTGCCTTGCAGACTGTCCTTGAGAGGCCTCTTGTTTCAAATGGGTTCCGAAAGCTCCCAGTACTGACCTTACTTACTTGCTTACTTACTTACTCGTGTTCCCTTCTCCTTATGAAATAAGCAGAACCAAAAAATAAAATAAAATTTCACCTTTGGTGAAACTGAGAAATGCCCTCCATCCTTGACTCCAGCCCACACGAAGGGCTGCCTGGTGGTAAAAATGCCAGTCTGGCTGAGGATGAGAATCTGTATTTTTATTGCCTTCTTGACAACGATGCTGTTCTGGCTTCTTGTCCACACTTCCAAGTAGCAAGAGTGCAGGGCACTGCCCTTCTGAGATGGGGGTCAGTGATGTGCTCTGTGGGGATGGGCTTGTTTCAAGTTTTCTGCCTTGACTTACTAAGCTTTGACCACACTAGGCCCTTGTTCAGTGAGAGGCCATTGAGTGGATTAGATGTCCGTTGGGATAGTTGAGAGGTGTTTGCAGTGAGGTTTAAAAGGAGAGACTTGTACTTATGTCCTGCGCGGCAGAATCTGGCCAGGTGTGGCTTGTTTGAGCTTCAAGCGGGATAACGGTGAGGCTTGGTTACTTAGAAACACAGCTCTTCCTCCCCCGTCACTCAGGTCCTGAGCTGACCAGTAGGATCCTCTTTCTTAAAATAAGAAAAAAACCTACACGTTTATTTACTGAGTGTATGTGTGTGCATGTGCGTGCTGTGGTGCGTGTGTGGAGGTCAGAGGACAACTCGCAGAAGTAGGTTCTGTCCTTCCACCATATGGATTCTGGGCATTGAACTCAAGTCAGGCTCGGTAGCAAACAGCTTTGCCAGCCTCCCACGGAACCGTTTTGTTTTGCCGTCTTTGGCTCATAGTCTATTTCCCCATCCGGTCCCTACCTGGTGGTGTCTAACCTTTAGGTTTCTTCCAAATCCTATCTTCTAGCTAGTGTTCCAGACAGTGTGGACGTTAGGGTTTGTTTTCCATCTGTTATTGTCATCTTGGTAGTGACACTTTGAGATCAGTGGAGGGGCATCCCCTCTCAGGCTAGGGCTGTGGACTTCCACACGTGGTCCTGTCCCACACACCATAATCGGTCTCAAGGCTTTTCCAGTGTATATTTGTATTGAATTTTTGTGCATTTCATACAATATATCTTACCCACTTTTACACCCTCTCCCCCATCCACACTCCACCCATAGTCCCCCACTGGATTTCATGTATTCTGTCATATATGTCAAGGTCAGTCAAGTTGTTTGTGTACCCAGATGCCCGTCAGTGTGAGTTCATCCATTGGATCCTGTTCAACTTGTTGAGCATCACTCCCTTAAAGATCAACTCTCCCTTTCCCAGCAGTGATGAGCTGCTGATAGTTCCTCAGCTAAGGTTGGGGCCTCCATCCCATTTCCCAAGTTCTGTGCTAGGTTTTTCTCTGATTGAGTCAGCATGGGTCTCGGGCATGCTGACACCATTGCTGTAAGTTTACCCAGATGCCCGTCAGTGTGAGTTCATCCATTGGATCCTGTTCAACCTGTTGAGCATCACTCCCTTAAAGATCAACTCTCCCTTTCCCAGCAGTGATGAGCTGCCGATAGTTCCTCAGCTAAGGTTGGGGCCTCCAGCCCATTTCCCAAGTTCTGTGGTAGGTTTTTGTCTGATTGAGTCAGCATGGGTCTCGTGCATGCTGACACCATTGCTGTAAGTTCATGTGAGCAAGTTCTCAGCTGCCTAGAAAACTCTTTTCTTGTGGTCATCCATCACCCCTGGTTTTTACAGACTTTCCACCCTGTCTTCCACAACAGTCCCTGAGACCTTGGGTGGCAGAGATTTAATATTGGAGTCCTGTCCAGGGATACACACTTCTCAGTTTCTAATTCTCTACATTTGGCCAGTTGTGACTTTCTGTGTTAATCACTCTCTGTTGCATGAGGAAGTTTCACTGGTGAGAGTTGAGAGATGTATTAATATTCTTTCTACCCCTTGTTCCATTATGTTCCATGAGTTTTAAGTGTAGTGGTTCTATCGTAGATGTGTCACACAGGGTTGGGCATAACCCAAACAATTGTTCTCCATGTGTA